CAACCACAACCACAACGACAACGACAACAGCAACAACAACAACAACAACACACCAACAACAACAACAACAACAACAACAACAACAACAACAACAACAACAACAACAACAACAACAAACGAGCAGAGCATGCTGTTTTACGCCGAGCTCCGAGCGTACCGCTGGTTGTCCTGGGGGGCCCTCATGGCCACGGCTGCAGCCTCCTCGACATCCTGGCCGGAGCGCACCACGGGCGAGGTCCTGGGAGCAGCAGTATGGGTAATTACATCTTTGCCCCCTCCCCACTCGCGTCGTGAAAGAATCGCGACGACGGCTGTTGTCGGGCATCTACTGACCTGGGTCAGCGCACACCCAGGTCAGTCGGGCCTTGCAAGGTCCTGCAGAAACAAGGGTCGGTGCAGCCCTGGCTCTGAGGTCCGGCGCTCTGGCTGACCCCCGTCCCTTGAGCCCCGAGCTTTTGGCCATGTTCCAGGCTCGTTGTGGCCATTTGAGAAGTGTTCTAAGCCTTCCCCGAAGACACAGAAAACTTCTTAGAAGGCCAGAGGGTTTCTGAGAAGCCCTGTCGCCTTGTGAGAAGGCCTCCTCCTCACTCCCCCATTTGCTCGCGGCCGCTTTTCGGGGACCTACTGCAAAGGGTGAATCCACACCCGGGTCAGTCGGGCTTTCCAGGATGCTGCCAAAGCCTGCAAGATTTAGGTCGGGCGTGTCCTCCTACAGGCGGATTTTGGAGGAAAATAAAAAATGTCTAAAAATACTCAGAAATAATCAAAAAAGTAATCGAAAAATCGTGCCCTGACTATTTTCTACTATTTTTGAAAATTCCTCCTGTAGAGAGACACGCCCGACTGTCCCGAAAATGACCGATCCCCATGTCATACAAGCAGGCCCCGGGAGCTCCTGGCGGCGCTGAGGCATAGACCTCAACCTCGCCTTCAACTCCGGCCGCAGTCCAGAGATCCGAGATCCGAGATCCAAGAGTTCTGCCAAGGCTGCCTGCGGTCGCCAGAGCACCGGTAGAAAGGCGGCCGAGCGCCAGCACCCAGGTCAAACAATCTCAAGTCGGGCGTGTCCACCTACAGGGGGATTTGCGACGAACAACAAAAAATGTTCAACAAATATTCCAAAATGATCAAAAATATAGTCCCCAGACTATTTTTTACTATTTTTGGAGATTCCTCCTGTAGAGGGACAGGCCCGACTGAAAAATAATCTCGAGAGAGGAAGACATCACATAGCGGCATACCGGGCACGCTCAACTTTTTGCGCGCGCACTCCACGCACGGCAGCAAGAGGGACTTCGATCCTGAGTGCCGTCGCCCGCGCCATGCGTCTGCGAGTCGGCGCGCACGCTTCCCACGCGCACTGCTGCACAAGAGCGGGCTGATCAAGGATTGGAGGAGAGCAGTCCACCTTTGTCAACAAGTTTCGAACTCAGCGTAAAATACAGGATCTGGCACCGACCCGCGATGGGATTTCCGGGGTTCCAGATGGACAACGCCGGCGAAACGTCGCAATCATAGGGACATGATCCGAGACTATCTCCACCAGCGCAGCTTTGCCCATCACCGCACAGGAAGATTGGGAAGCTAGAGAGCACAGTCGTCGGAGTGGCAAGGCACAGACGGTCAAGACGGCTTACGCGGAGCAACCCACTCCTTGCGCCCCCAATCAGGTTGGACTGGGCCCGTGGATTCCTGCCCAACGCGGAAAACCAACGCAAAGATCACGTCGATATCGGCCCCCAGGTCGCCATCCAGAGCCGCCCCCACGTTGCCTCCAATCCGCTTCCAGAGAAAACTTGAAGTTTCCCCTAATCACCAGAGCATTCTGAGACTCAGCCAGGGCATCCCTGATTCGCCGAAGAGATCGAGGAAAAGTCCACGCAGGCACCCAAGAACTGGGAATATGAACAATCAATACCCAGAGAGAACCATGCCGCCCGCTACATTTCGTCGAGAGAATACGCCCTGGCTCAATCGAAGCATGGATAATGTCCGAGAAGAGCTCGGAGAAGCTGGAGGAACGAATTATGAGAACACCCCCAACGATATCAGGGGCACCCCCTGAGAAACCCAGAACCGCCCCCTGAAGGTCACGATTCATAGCCTTGGCAACTTCCGCCGCACCGTGAGCGCCAATGCATGCACCGTATACGTGGACGTCGACCACACTTCAGAACTTGCTCGAACCGCCTGGAGGCACGCGTGGACGCATGACGGACGGAAGCGAAGAGCCCCCAGGTGTTCCATGAGAAACCAGCAAAAGCAGGAGTGGGCGGAGGAGGGAAGAGAAGCGACATTTGAAGTGAGTGGCCCCGACCACCGCAAGGCTCTGAGCTCGACGAACTAGTCTCCGAGTCAGAACCACCAAAGACAGAGTTATCCGAGGAAGGCCCCTCTGATGAGCACCCGCGAGATGAGTCCTCAAAAATGGGCGCGAGCGGCAGTCTCGAGCGCGGCCCTATAAGGTAGCACGACCGGCCTCCACATGTGCAAGCCCCCCCCCCCCCCCCGTGACCAAACATGTAAACTGCCTGGCTGTCATGCGGGCAAGAGCGGAGGTGAGAAAGCGGGACCGTGCCCTCCCTCGACGCGACGGCAAGGAAAAAAACACCACCGTTCCCGTTCGAATCGGCATGAAGGCATGCCTTCTTCGGCTCATCCTGCAACGTGTGACGAATCTCACCCATCTCGAAAAATACCTGGAGATGCTGAAGAGAAGGTATTGAAGAACTCGGAGGGCCAGATACCTCCCCGGTTCCGTGGGCTCTCCATATGAATGCCGTCTGCCATCATCCGATAAATTCCCGAAAAGCCAGATACCATGGCGAAGGAGGGGAACTCGAGGCAACCTTCTTCTGGGAGTCATCTGCACGAGCCCTGATCAGGTCCCCCGCCTGCTCCGTCGTACGAGATGATTTCATCAGCGACGCGACTCATCATCCTGCCCCTGAATCCTTGAATGAACAGCCTGTGGCGTTGCCCATCTGCATCAGAGAGAAAACCCCTGAGGCACTGCTGCCAGCAAGCGAATTCGAATCGGCAGCATGAGACGTCGGTAGCTTTGACACAAAAAACTGCTGCGCACTCTTGAGGGTGGCCAGACGCTTCTGCACAATGTCCTGCTTCGCACGCAGCGAGTCAAACTGCGAGACCACTTCCTTGATCTGTTGACCCTGGATGGCGACTGTCAGTTTGATCCCATAGAGCTTCTAATCTAGCATCTCGTTGGTGGATTTCAAGGGGGCGTCGAACATCGCCCAGATCGCAGAGCGATCTAGCGCCATAGCAGCAAGATCCGAGAAAGAGAACTCGCCCGCCGGACGGGGCAGCTGGGCCACAGGCGCCCGAGGCAAGGGCTCTCAAGCCAGGTCCTTGGCTGCGAGCAAGCTCAAGTGCCACACCGCGCGGTTCGAGCGTGAATCAAAAGTGACTACGGATGGTGGTGATGGTGACGAAAATGGTGACCATGACGATAACGGTGACCGCGACAATGACGACGACGGTGGCGATGATGACGATGACGGCCACGATGACGATGATGCCAGTGATGACTACACTTATGGGTATGATGTGAGTGATGATGGTAGTGGCGATGATGATGGTCATGATGACGATGGTGATGAAGATATTGATGATGATGCTGATGCGGATAGTGTGTATGATGATGATGATGATGATGATGATGATGATGATGGTGATGGTGATGGTGATGGTGATGGTGATGGTGATGATGATGATGATGATGATGATGATGATGATGATGATGATGATGATGATGATGGCGATGAAGATGGTGATAGTCACGATGGTGATGGTGATGGTGATGGTGATGCTGATGGTGATGGTGATGACGACGACGATGGTAATGATGGTAATGGTGATGGTGATGGCGATGGTGATGGTGATGGCGATGGCGATGACGACGACGACGACGACGACGACGACGACGACGACGACGACGATGACGATGACCTGTTCTGGTTCCTGCCCCTGTTCCTGTTCCTGCCCCCTCCCCCGCCCCCTGCTGCCCGCCGCCCCTCCCCCCCCCCCGCGGGGACACTGGCCGCCCGAAGAGCAGCGGGGATCCTGCGAGCGGGCGCGAGGCGCCGGGCTGGGGGGGAAGAGGGGGGGCCCGTGCCCTGGCCCTCCCTCCCCGTGTGCCTCGCGCCGGGGAGGGGAGGAGGAGGGCGGGGAGGAGGAGGGCGAGGAGGAGGAGGAGGAGGGCGAAGAGGGGGAGGGCGGGGGAGGAGGAGGAGGGGGAGGAGGAGGAGGAGGAGGAGAGGAGGAGGAGGAGGAGGAGGAGGAGGAGGAGGAGGGGGAGGAGAGAGGCGAGAAAGGGAAGGAGGAGGTGGGGATGGAGGAGAATGCGCCCGTCAGAGGCGGAGCATCCTGGTTGCCAGAATGACTGACGAACAAGGTTCCCCTGTTTTGCTTTCACAGCCCAGGCTGCGCAAAAGCTCATGTAAATTTGGGGCCCCGCCAGACTAAAACGGGAGGTCCAGCCCGACTGGTCCCAGCGGTAGACCTTGCCACTCCCTTTTTCTGGAAAAGGTGTTAGAGCAGGAGGGGGGGAAGGGGGGGAGAGGGGGAGGGGGAGGGGGAGGAGGCAAGCTAGGTGCGCTCGCGTCATATCTGACATCCTACCCCTCCCTCCCATCCCTTACCATGGCGTAGATCCCCTCTCTACTCGCACAGTCGGATGTCGAGCAGGGCAATGATCCCGAAAGGGTACGCGATGCATTGTAGAGCACGGCATGGCATGGCGTAGAAGAGCACCGCAAAGCGTAATATCAACCTAGCATTGCATTGCATGCCGTGGCATGGCACGGGAAATGACGCCAGCACTGCAGCGGGAGCACAAGACGGAACGAGCGGAAGCGCGGAAATGAGGCCAACGCTGCAGCGGGAGCACGATTCGGAACGAGCGAAGCACGGAAATGAGGCCAGCGCTGCAGCTGGGGCACGATTCGGAACGAGAGGGGCCCGAAAATGAGACCGGCGCCTCAGCGAGAGCAGCATTTTGGAAAAAAATGCAAGCGATAACCCAACTCCGGGGAATCCTGTGTAAAAAAACGGTACGCGGGGGGGGGGGGGCCAACACTTTCAAGCCGTCATCAGGGGAAGAGGGAGAGTAGTATTCATATTGAGTAACGGGAAGGGGGAGGAGGGCAAGCTCGGTGCGCTCGCGTCATACCTGACGTCCTACCCCTCCCTCCCATCCCTTACCACGGCGTAGATCTCCTCTCCATTCGCACAATCGGATCTCGTAGCATGGCATAGCATTACATGGCATAGCATGGAGTCGAAGATCAACGCGTAGCATGACATAGCATGGCGTGGCGACGCCCCACGGTGGAGGGAGGGTGCTTCTGCGGCCCAAAAAATCCACCAATCGGCACCGAATGTGTAATCACTTCCAATGGTTTCTTCGGGAGGCCATTTCCTAGATTTGGGAGCCTATTTGGAAGCACCGAAAACCATGCCAGGGCATGCCGCTCGAAGTAATGACGCCAGCGCTGCAGCGGGAACACGATCCCGAACGAGCGGAAGCGCGGAAATGAGGCCAGCGCTGCAGCGGGGGCACGATTCGGAACGAGCGGTAGCCCGAAAATGAGGCCAGCGCTCCAGCGATAGCAGCATCAAAAACAAACTCAGCGCGGAAGCGCGGAAATAAGGACGCGTAGCCTGACATAGCATGGCGTGACGACGCCCCAAAGTGGGGGGGGGGCTTCTGCGGCCCAAAAAATCCACCAATCGGCACCGAATATGTAATCACTTCCGATGGTTTCTTCTGGGGACCATTTTCTAAATCTGGGGGCCGATTTGGAAGCACCGAAAACCATGCCAGGGCATGGCACTCGAAATGATGACGCCAGCGCTGCAGCGGGAACACGATCCCGAACGAGCGGAAGCGCGGAAATGAGGCCAGCGCTGCAGCTGGGGCACGATTCTCAACGAGCGGTAGCCCGAAAATGAGGCCAGCGCTTCAGCGAGAGCAGCATTTTGAAAGAAAAAACTTAAGCGAGAACCCAACTCCCGGGAATCCTGTTGGTAAAAAACCAGCACGCGGAGGGGGGACTGAAGGGAGTAGTATTCATATCGTGTAATTGTAAGAGGGGGAACGGGAGGGAGGGGAAGGGGAGGGGGAGGGGAGGGGGAAGAGAGTAGGAGGAGGAGGAGGAGGAGAAGGAGGACCCCATACGATACGAAAAGAAGGGGGGGAGGGGGGGGGGGGGGGAGGAGGAGGAGGAGAGAGAGGAGGAGGAGGAGGAGGAGGAGGAGGAGAGGAGGAAGGAGGAGGAGGAGGGGGGGGGGAGGAGGAGGAGCAGCAGGAGGAGGAGGAGGAGGAGGAGGAGAAGGAGGGGGAGGGGGAGGGGGAGGGGGAGGAGGAGGAGTCGCCACCGTTGATCGGAAGCGTGTCCGCGACCGAGAGCTTGAAAGGGGACAGGGAGCAGTGGAGCACGCCGCGCATCGCTGGCCGCGCTCGCGTGTGGCATAAAGCTACACACGCATTATAATGTAAGGAAAGGGGGCCAATCGTATATTACACGACGCGCCCCCCGCCCCCTACACGAGAGGTCAGATCGGGTCGAGAGCCTTACCTGACTTCGGGTGGAGCCCACGAGCCGCGTATTTAATTTTAGTGGCTTGTGAGCTTCGGGTCGACGGGTGGTCTGAGCGTCCCTGACACCTGTTGTCGTTAGGCACAATCGTGAAAGCGGAGCAGATGGAGCAGAAAAGAACTCGCCCCACCTGTTCCATTTCGTGGCCGAGGGCCCCAAAACGCTCGTGCAACACCAACGAAGGCGGAGCCTGGCCACCATCCAACTCGGGCCCCAGGACCACACTCGCAGCCTCCAGGGCCACAGGCACCGCCTTCGAAGAGAGGGGATGCGAACCTCCGATCTATCCGCGAAGACAGCCGTCGCTTTCCACCGCTGGAAAGTGGAGGGCCCGCAAACTCGCCTGCTGCCAGTCTGGAGCTGGGCGAGGGAGGCGGGCGTCTTGGCATACAGGTTGCACACATTACACCGCCATTCACCCAGCGCAGGAAAGTGGAACAACGCGTGCTCGGACAGAGCCAAGGGGCCCATACTTCTCCTGCTAGGGGTCGGCCTCGCGGCCTCGGGCGCCGACGGGGCCGAGAGCTCTTGGGCCAGCCCCGCGATCGCCTGCGACATTCTGGCCAGGAAGACAAAAGTCAGCTTGGTGTCATTAGTGCACGCAGCCTGGCACTTCACAAGGGTGTCCGAGACCGCATGAGACTCTGAGCCTAACCTCGCAAAGTAATCGGCCCAAAGATCACCGGGGAAATTCATCACACTGGTCGGCGTGGCGACACTAACGACGTCGCCCCATTCACGGTGGGCGGGGGTCCACTCAAAATTTGGGGTCGGGTCGCCGTCGCCATACAGGCCGAAAATCAATCTCCAAACACTCGCGCGCTTCGCGCTACTCGCGGCCAGCTCCACGGCCCACGAAGCGCCTTCACGCACAGCACTCAAATGGTCTGAAACAACATGGGCGTCCAAGGGGCCAACACGAAGCGCCTGGTAGATCGCAAACCTCTCGGCCCTGGGCACCGACTGGTGGCGCCCAGGGAGGCCGCCATAGACGGCCCGAAGGGGGCCCACTGGGTCCCAACTCGACCGCCGACCAGCCACACCTTCGCAGTTCGGGACTGGCACTGGCCAGCCCCGAGCCGTCGGCGTAGATGATCCTTCCCCAAGGCGCCTCGGTGGCTCCCCAGGAGCAGACAGGGAGCTCGTCGGGGACGGGGCTGAGGGGGAAGGCGACCATCGGGAGCCCATAAAGAACCTCAAGGGAGTCCCAATGCAGCACCCCCTCTCTAAACTCCCCTTTGCCCCTAAGCTCGGACCTGCGCCCCAGGACGTCGCCTGGAAAAACTTGATCATTCCTGCCTGGGAAGTCAAGCACAGGATCACGATCGTATATCTGGTGTCCAAGAGGCCCCACAACCTGTCTGTCACAAAACGTGCATAGATCACTGCTGTATCCCGCTTCGAACTTGCGCTGTGGAGGCCACATCGCATGTCCCAACAGGCATCGAAGGGCCCCCCTACGCGCAGCGTCGCAGACACTGAGTACCCCGATGCGCATCGAGCGCAGCCAGAGCTTTTCTCCGCCCACGGCCTCGCGCAGGTGCTTCAAAATGCATATTGCTTGCCAGCGCTGGATGCCCGCCTGGAGCTCAATCCTCAAGTCGCGAAGAGAGCTGCGCAGCAGGTTGACAGCCACACCTTCATCTGATGCGACGGCGTGCGCTGCTGCCACGGACCAGCCTATTCTCTGAAGCGAGAGGAGCACCGCGCTGACAGGTCCACGGCATGAATTCCATGTGGGCCTGCTAAAATTATTGTCACGTATCTGCATCCACGCTCTCTGCAGACGTCCTAACGAAAATCTGGCGTCCCAAATCATGCCGGCGTATCGCTGTATCAGAGGCACCGTCGCATCGAAAATGGGATCGTAGAACGGGTCAACCTGTGTGGCCAGCCAAGCTGCGGGGGGCCCAGAGCGTCTGGCACCTACAAGAGACCCAACCAAAGTTCGCAGCGCCTTCAAAGATGGGTCTGTAAGTCCGCTGACTCCTGCGCCGTGACCTGCTGCTGGCATCAAGCCAGTCCTCCAGAGCATCTGCACCTTCCCTGGAGCACCGCGACGCAGCGCGGCAAGCTTAGGACGGCGGCGAAATACTTTACTGAGCCTAGCACTCTCCTGGGCCCTTTGAGGTCTCCCCGAGAAGACTTCGTGGCCCAGGTTCCGCACGTGGGTGTAGCTCCGCAGTCTGATGATACGAGCCGACGACGACACTCTGGACGATGCTTTAGCTGCGGTAGCTACAAGCCCACTCTTGCGAACCTGCAAAATCAGACCGAAAGAAAAAACTTGACGGGAATACCACCTCACGGCGGCTAGCAGCACATTGCACTCGCACAGCCGCCTGCCAACCCACTGGAAGCTAGAGTCATCTATGAGGATTCGCGGCTGGACAATTAAATAGAGTCTGCGCATCTTGCAGATCACGCGGAGAAGGAGCAGATGCATCATCGCGTTGGCGTGGC